GAGGCAAGGGAGCGCCCTGCAAGCGGAGCCGGAGGGGCCCGAGCGGGGCTCCCATGGTGGTGCTGAGCTCTGGGAGGGGGGGGGGGAGCCCGGGCTAAAGCGTTCCGGAGGCCTAGACCTCCGAGCACGTGGGCCCTCCCGCCCCCCTGCTGCAGGAGATGAGCCCGGATCCTGCAAGAGATCCGAGACACGGCTCTGCAGCCAGTCCATCCCCCTGTCCTCTGCTGCCTCCTGCAGCTGAGCCAAAAGGCTGTCCATGGCAGGGCTAAAGGTGGCCTGAAGCAAGGTGTGCTAAACAGACACCAAGCTCACACTCTTGCCGTCCAGCTAACTGACTCCCCCTCACAGAACCTCCAAACCTAAGGTGCAGCAAAACCCCACCTACACCAACCTCTACCAATCAGCTACCCCCCACTAACAATAACAAAATCCTCCTGGAGCTACCTTAACCCTTTCTGCTCTTCCTTCCCCCACTCTGGGCCTAGTCATGTATGCCCTGCGCTATTTCTTCTTTCTTTCGCTACGGGCATTTCTTTAGATGAACGTCTGTTATGATGCAGCCATTCTCAACAAGGGTTTCCTCCAGAGGTTGCTAGGGCTTCCTTGAGCTGTGGCTGATTGACCTCCTATATGATAGTGCCTGAAAAGTTCCAGGGCCAATGCCACTTGGAAAAGTCAGCTGTGTGTTTTTAGCTGTGTGTAAGAGTGGCATTCTGATCACCACTTTAAGAGGGGCATTCTTCTTACTAGACATGAATGTAAGGAGCAATCTGCTCACTAGACAACATTGTGAGGGGCATTCTTCCCACTGACCACCAATAAAAGGGCATTCTTCCCACTGACCACCAATGTAAGGAACATTCTTCCCACTGACCACCAATGTAAGGAACATTTTTCCCACTGATCACCAATGTAAAGAGCATTCTTCTCACTGACCACCAATGTAAGGAACATTCATCCAACTGATTACCGATGTATGGGTCATTCTTCCCATTAGATACCAATGTAAGGAGCATTCTTCCCAATGACCACCAATGTAAGGGTCATTCTTCCCATTATATACCAATGTAAGGAGCATTCTTCCCACTGACCACCAATATATGGTGCATTCTTCCCACTAGTCAACAATGTAAGGCTCATTCTTCCCATTAGATACCAATGTAGGGAGCATTCTTCCCACTGACCACCAATGTAAGGGTCATTCTTCCTATTATATACCAGTGTAAGGAGCATTCTTCCCACTGACCACCAATATATGGTGCATTCTTCCCACTAGACACCAAAGTAAGGAGCATTCTTCGTACTGTCCACCAATGTAAGGCTCATTCTTCCTATTAGATACCAGTGTAAGGAGCATTCTTCCCACTGACCACCAATATATGGTGCATTCTTCCCACTAGACACCAAAGTAAGGAGCATTCTTCGTACTGTCCACCAATGTAAGGAACATTTTTCCACTGACCAACAATTAACTAGTTTTAAAAAGGGTTTCCTGAGACCCAAAAATTATTTTAAGGGTTCCTCAGGGACAAAATGTTTGAGGAATACCGTATTTGCCGGCGTATAAGACGACTGGGCGTATAAGACGACCCCCAACAATTCCACTCAAAATATAGAGTTTGTTATATACTCGCCGTATAAGACTACCCCCTCTTTCTTTTTGCTGGTGCCATGATAGGGTTGATAGGGGTTTGACTGCTGGACATTTTCTATGCTGAATTGTACTGTACAATGGTGCAGTACTGTGGTTGGCTGTATACAAAGCCTGATTGGATTGGTCCCTGCTCCCTGTCTGCCCTCCCTGTCTCCATGTCACTACCATGTCCCTGCATCTCCCTGTAATTGGCTCTAGTGCGCAAGTCCGTATGTATGTGCGAGCTCTGAGTAGACAAGGGGCGGGCCGGAGTGCCGCTGCTTCCCGCCGAGCAGAACGGGCCGGTCACGCCGAAAAGGCTGGCACCCCTGTATCGCTGCTGATGCTCGCCGCAGCCACGCTGATGACCCGCCGTGGCTGGTATGTAGAATGAGGTGGGCGGGCATCGGGAGGCCACTATGGGCACCGGGCGAGTATCGGAAGGCCACTATGGCAGCTATGTCTATCCCAACTGAAGTGCACCCGGCGTATAAGACGACCCCCCCACTTGGAGGCATGTTTTTCAGGGCAAAAAAGTCGTCTTATACGCCGGCAAATACGGTACTTTCCTGAAATCTATTTCAGTTCCAGTTGGATGATATTTCAGTGTTGTGCTAGAGATCAGGATCATTCTTTCTCTGGATATCAATATTTATTATTACAATTACAAATCAGTCATTGTTTCTGAACATCCTTTTGTTTTGGCAGAATCGTCTGACTCTCCGTGTACTGGTATTACCATGATTTGTTTTGCTGTCCTATTGGTGGTTCTCTGTGCTGCTGTGAATGCTCAGGGTAAGTAAGTGCTCAATATTTTTCTTCTTTTTTTTATTTCACTTCATTCAGGGTGTCCTATCTACTGAATACCATTGATGTTATCTATTTGTTTTTTTACCTAAAATGGGAAAAACATGGAGGACATTCAGTACCATTTATTACGCTCAGAAGGACTAATCATTCTGTATATAAGAATGGAACCCACAAGTCTTCATAAAACTGCTAATGATGTTCCCCCAACAATCTTGAAATTTTATCTCACCCAATCAAAAGAGCTGAGGGGTGGACGGTAGGAGTGTTGACATGTTTATGATTTTTTTCAGCAGACCCTCCATGACAGTTATATTTTTAAATGCATCATTATTTTTGATTGCCTTGTTTTAGGGTCCAAAAACCAACATAGTATTGCATAGCACAAATTCACAATTTGATCGACATAAGACATGATGATAATCTTCATAACACTGTGAATAATCCACCACCAAATGAATTAAATAAACTCACCAAAGCTATATGCTGATCAAATTATAAACCAGCAATAACGCTTGTGCCCTGGGAGCGATGAATAAATGATGTCCAGATTTAGATGTGGTAATTCTTAATCACGTCCAGGTAATCAATAATGGTGAATCAGTATGAGGAATAACGTATCACTACCAAGAGCAATACTCTGCAGCCAAGGATTTCATGGTGAATCTCTCCATTTAATTCCATACCTCCATATATGTATGAATCACACTCAGGGACAAAGAAAAAAACATCATGGTGCAGTATGTTTAAAACATACGAAAATTTAATAAAAGCTCAAGCAACTCACAAAGAAGGTGTCCAGACAGACACCAGCTTAATCAGCAATGCACAGCAATAAGGTGAGAACAATCCCCGCTCACCGCGGATCACCTCCGACAAACACTGGGAAAAGAACGTTCTGATGTCAACATCGAATAGGCCACACCCAACGCGTTTCGTCACCACGACGTCATAAAGGTACCGTCGTGACCTTATTGCTGTGCATTGCTGATTAAGCTGGTGCCTATCTGGACACCTTGTTTGTGAGTTGCTTGAGCTTTTATTAAATTTTCGTATGTTTTAAACATACTGCACCATGATGTTTTTTTCTTTGTCCCTGAGTGTGATTCATACATATATGGAGGTATGGAATTAAATGGAGAGATTCACCATGAAATCCTTGGCTGCAGAGTATTGCTCTTGGTAGTGATACGTTATTCCTCATACTGATTCACCATTATTGACTACCTGGACGTGATTAAGAATTACCACATCTAAATCTGGACATCGTTTATTCACCGCGCCCAGAGCACAAGCGTTATTGCTGGTTTATAATTTGATCAGCATATAGCTTTGGTGAGTTTATTTAATTCATTTGGTGGTGGATTATTCACAGTGTTATGAAGTCACAGAGAATATTTTGAGTTTATTTTTAGACACTAGTTTATTTTTGGACACTTAATATATGGTGATATATATATAGATATATATATATTTATTTAGCGCATACCCTTATGAGATTTTGTTCACTTTGCCAAATTAATTGTTTGTGTATATATTTTTTTGGGTGGGTGTTGCTGCTGACACGTAGTTTATTAATTTAAAAAGAGTGTGGTACTTTTTATTTTTATTTTTGTACATGATGTTAATCTTTTATGTATTCTCCTTAGAGAAATGTAATGTGACTAATTTGCCTCATTATATCAAAGGCATGTGTAGTACCAAATTGGTATTTTCTTATGCATTTGTGTGGAAACTCATTGTTAATGTCATTTTCTCAGATCATGGAATTTGACTGGATTTTGAACGGTGGCAAAAAATTCAGACAGGAATGTGGATTCTCTTAAATGCCAGCTAAACTATCATGACCAACATTAGGACCTGTTAAGACTCTTGTACTGTATGATCTAGCAATTTCATAATGTGCTTAGCTGAAAGTCTAAACTTAATGCTGTTTAATGGGGATTATCAGTGCTTCGTTTGCATTAGGAGATGTCCTGCTAATGGGTTTAATGACCTCCAATTAGTCAGGTTCACTTTTTAAAGCCCTTCTCTGATCAAACCTAACCCCCCATCCTACCCCAACTGTTGAGATAACATATCAGCCACATACCTGTACATTGTTTTTAATGAGTTGACAGATTTATAGACTTGCATTGTGTGAAGGGGCAGTAAAGCACAACCATTGTACAGCTCTACAAAGCAGCAAGTATATCTTCCAACTATAAAGACAAAATACCTTGGCCTACTAGTACATATATTATGACCATTTAAACTTGAAAACAAGGTTTCTTAAAACATTGACACATAACAATAATTGTAATATTAAGCTCATTTTATGGATGTAAACATTAAAATAATTGAAAAGACAACACTCCCTTTAAGAAATTATAAAGGCACAACATTTTTTGCATTTTAGTGCATTTTCACCATGAAAAAAATCTCTATTCTCAATAATGATAGCATAGGAAGAAAAAAACTCTTAAAGCTCTAATTTCTAATAGCCATATCATTGTTCACAGATTGTCCAACTATTATAAGTCGGGCACAATGGGGAGGCAAGACCCCCACGTGCAGGAAGATGTCTACTCCAGTACCAGATGTCATCATCCACCATACTGAAGGGGCCTTCTGTAACTCCAGGAGTACATGCAGTGCCCAAGCCAGGAACATACAGAACTATCACATGAATACCCGGAAATGGTGTGACATTGGATACAAGTGAGGTCCAAATTAACCTGCAAATACCTTGTCAAGTAAACCAGAGTTGGATAGTAGAGTGAAGTTTGAGTGTTTTCTATTAGTAGGCAAGAGGAAAACAAAATGTGTAATTCTACCTCATGGACTAATGGGGATCATCTGTGTCACCAGGAGATATCAAAAGGCTCTCGCTGAGGTAAAGGATCTGGTCCTCTCCAGAGCCAACGATAGTACAGATGTTCCTCTGCAGAGAGCCACCAGGGTTTGACCCTCAGGATTCCCTAGATGGTTCCAGATGACAGTTCAGAAAGTACTAGGTACTACCAAATAATTGGACATAGCCGAGGACAAGACTGGCTGGAGGTCATGGCTGACACCACGTAGACCGCAGAAACCATAAACAGAAAATCAGAAAATCACAAAAGCATTTTAATGAGTCAGGACACAGACCCATGGCCATATCTAGCTTATCTGATTTGGGGGTGTAGTAAAAATAACAGGGGGCATAATATCAACCCTGTATGTAACAAAAGAAAGGAATGGAATGTATCCGGGTGCCAGATCACTTCCAAAAGAATGGGTGCCACGTAATATTTGGTGCCACGTCCTAATTATATTAGTCAAACATTGGAGGGAAAGAAACGGGGAAAAGGTTGCAAATGGACATTAAAGGCACAGAAATTCCAAACACATATTAGTAAAATCATTTGTACTTTATTATGGCAATAGATCATGAAAAAACATCTTGCAGTTTAAAAGATCATAGTTACACTATCCCCGCAGACAATGTCCCACAGCCCACCGTGTACAAGGAACACATTAATGATTAAGGATGTAAAAACCACCAAATGGATCCTATAAAGGGGGGGCTGAGAGACATTAAGTCGCAGGAAAATGGCCCAACACGTTTTGAGACAATGATCGCTTCTTCAGGGGCTTAGTAGTAAAATCTAAAAGAAATATACATAAACTAGATATATCAAAATGTATATTTCTTTTATATTTTACTACTAAGCCCCTTTGCAACTATAACAGCTTCAACTCTTCTGGGAAGGCCGTCCACAAGGTTTAGGAGTGTGTCTATTGGAAGGTTGGACCATTCTTCTAGAAGCACATTTGTGAGGTCAGGCACTGATGTAGAAGGACAGACGAGAAGGCCTGGCTTGCAGTCTCTTTTCTAATTCATCCCAACGGTGTTCTATCGGGTTGAGGTCAAGACTCTGTGCAGGCCAGTCAAGTTCTTCCACCCCAGATTCGCTCATCCATGTCTTTATGGACCTTGCTTTGTGCACTGGTGTGCAGTCATGTTGGAACAGGAAGGGGCCATCCCCAAAATTGGGAGCATGATATTGTCCAAATTGTCTTGGTAAGCTGACACATTAAGAATTCCCTTCACTGGAACTAAGGGGACAAGCCGAACCCCTAAAAAACAACCCCACACCATAATCCCCCCTCCACCAAACTTTACACTTGGCACAATGCAGTCAGGCAAGTACCGTTCTCCTGGCAACTGCCAAACTCAGACACATCCTTTGGATTGCCAGACAGAGAAGCATGATTGGTCACTCCAGAGAACAAGTCTCCACTAATCTAGAGTCCAGTGGTGGCGTGCTTTACAACACTGCATCCGACGCTTTGCTTTGCACTTGGTGATGTAAGGCTTGGATGCAGCTGCTCGGCCATGGAAACCCATTCCATGAAGTTCTCTATGCACTGTTGTTGTGCTAATCTGAAGGCCACACCAAGTTTGGAGGTCTTTAGCTATTGACTCTGCAGACAGTTGGTGACTTCTGCATACTGTGTGCATCAGCATGTACTGGCCCAATCTGTCATGTGACGTGGCCTACCACTTGGAGGCTGAGTTGCTGTTGTTGCCAGTTGCTTCCACTTTGTTATAATCCCACTAACAGTTGAGTGTGGAATATTTAGTAGCCAGGAAATGTCATGGATGGACTTATTGCGCAGGTGGCAATCTGTCACGGCACCACGCTTGAATTTACTGAGCTCCTGAGAGCGACCCATTCTTTCACAAAAGTTTGTAGAAGCAGTCTGCATGCCTAGGTGCTTGATTTTATACACCTGTGGAACACCTGAATCCAATGATTTGGAAGGGTGTCCCAATAATTTTGGCAATATAGTGTATAATCTTATGGGAAGATTTTTGTTGAAATTAATAGTTTGTTGTCAGGGTCCCTTTAAGTTTTTTCTGATCGCAACCAGGTGTGCAACTACAGCCTGACCACACATCAGTGCTGACTACCTTCCAGCAGATGACACAGCTGCACACCAACGCTTCAGGTCTTTCAAGAGATAGAGGGAAAAAGGAAAGGGAAGCTGATGGTGGATTGTTTACCCCACTAAGAAAGATGTGTTTTGCTATCTCAAATAATTATTTTCTAATTTAATATACTTTATTTTTATCTTTTTCTGCACAATGCCAGATTGTGGTAATGTAAGGTGAATTATATTTGTAGCATATTATTCTGATAGACATTCATCTTCCAATATTACCTTCACAGCTTCCTCATTGGCGAGGATGGAGTTGTATATGAAGGTCGCGGTTGGACAACTATTGGTGCTCATGCTACACCTGTTAACCCCATCTCCATTGGTATCAGCTTCTTTGGATCCTTCACTAGTAAGTGGCCCAAACCTTCTAACTACTTTGTAATATAATTATCTCCTATGATTGTCAGCTCCACCTAATGGCCATAATGAGGTATTCTCTTTTATTTAGGTCTTCCAGAAGCTGGGATCCAACACAAGTTTAGTTATAGAAATGTTCTTATTTTCCTTCTGCCACTAAAGTTATCAATTTAAATCACTGGTCACTTTCTTTGTCTACTCTATACAGGTCGCACTCCCAACAATGCAGCTCTGGATGCAGCCAAAAAACTCATTGCTTGTGGGGTGGCCAAAAACTTCATCAAAAGCAATTATATCTTGAAGGGACACCGAAACGTGATGAGTACAAGCTGTCCTGGAAATAGCCTCTACCTCCTCATCACAGGATGGCCTCACTTTAAAGCTTGAGGTGGATCAACGATATTTCCTTTTACTTGGGGGGTCAATATCTTCCTAGATTTTTCCATGAGGGCGACGAGAAACATAGAGTTGAAATTTAAGCGTTAAAAAGGCAGTCCATAAATGCTATTGTATAATCTATAACTTACCATCTTTAAAAAAAATTTAAAATATCTTTTTAAAAAATTCGCTATGTCCATACCTGGAGGCCATTATCCAAAGTGTGAAGCCCCAAAACTTCTTAAAGGTTTTCCAAGCTCTGTCCTGTGTCTACTTTCTAGGATTGAACAGCCATTTGGATGAGTACCTCCTAGTAGTACGGGAGTAAGCGTCGTTCTTCTCTTGAGTACCACGCATGGGCAGTGTTCTCCCTTTCTTGTCACAGGCATTCATTCCCAGTAAAAGACAAGCACACTGAGCATGTGCGGTGCACAGGAGAAGGACAGGGCTCGCTCCTGTACCACTAGGGGGTATTTGTTTTAATGGTCACTAGTGTTGGGCTATATGTTCGACTTTAACATTGGCCGTTCGTGTGTTTGGCAAAGGATTGCACTGTGGCCTGACAGTGCATTGTGATTGGCCAAAGCAATGCACCTAACCACAGGTCAAATACACTGTTTTGGCCAATCACAGCACATGGTGACGTCACAAGGGGCAGGGGTCATCCAGGCGCAGCTGTCAGATGGCGGGAGCCAGTGTCGAGACTGGACCAGTTTTTTTTTCCTCTTTTGTCAGGCGATAGTGGCGGATATCGTGGTTGACGTTGGACCTACTTCGGGGGGACATTTTTTTAAATTTTTGTTTGTAATAAAGGCTGTCTTCTGTAATTTCTCCACTACACTTTTTTTTTTTTGTGAATGGGTAGCAGTACCATGTACCCATACTCATTCACATGGGGTGGGGGGTCTGGGGGCCCCCTTGTTAAGGGTTTCCAGATTTTGATAAGCCCCTCACATACAGACCCCACAACTAACAGCTGCTGTTGTGGGGAAGAGGACCTTGTCTCTATCAACATGGTGACAAGGTGCTTTGGGGGGTGATCCCCCCTGCTCCAAAGCATCACCTCCCATGTTGAGGGCATGTGCCCTATTGAGGGTATGTGTCGCTCGCTCATTTCCCCCCTTTCCTGACCTGCCAGGCTTCATGCTCGGAAAAGGTTCTGGTATGGATTTTGGGGGAGACCCCCATACCATTTTTTAAAAATTTTAGTGTGGGGATTCCCCTCAAAATCCATACCTGACCCGAAGGGCTTGGTATGGAGGAACTCATGCGGTTTTTAACATTTTTAAATTTCCGGGCAAGGTCGGCAATTCTTTTTACATTCAGCTGTTAGTGGGGAACCCAGCTGACAGCTGAAACATTAAAGAATGTTTTTAGTAGCTGTGCGGTATCTTAGCACATACTCAGATGCAGTAAGATACCACTTAGTGAATTGTCGAAATGTTCAAATGTTCAACTGCGAACCGAATAGGGGGGTGTTCGGCCCAAAACTAATGGCCACTCAAGACAGGACAGAGATTGGAAAACTGGAAAGCTGGCTATACACTATTAGAATTTTGTTTATAATTTTGTTGTTTTAAGAAACTTTGTTGATTTTCTAATCATTATTGTGGTCAATTCAATGTCCATTCCGCTTAGCACGGTGGCTGGGTGGTTAGCACTTCTACCTGCAGTACTAGGGTCATTTGTTCAAATCCCAACCACAGCACTCCTTGCCTGGAGTTTGCATGTTGTGCCTGTGTGGGTTTCCTCCAATGAGATTCCAGGGGGTTAATTGGCCCTAGTGTATGTATGGGTGTGAGTTAGAGACTTTAGAGTGTAAGCTCCTTGAGGACAGGCAGTGATGCGAATGTCCAATATATACGTATGTGTAAAGTGCTGTGTAAATTGATTGATATAAATACCTCAGCTAATAACTTTCAACCATAGTAACAACAAAATGTGACAGTTCAGGATAGAGAAATTTGTTTCTCAAAACAATGAATTTTTAACATTGATTGCGCTTTTCATTCAGGAAATTCCATTCATTTTAAAATCGAATGGTAAAAGATTGTACGCCCCTTGAGGGTTAGGGACTGATGTGAATGTACAAAAATTATGTAAAGCGCTGTGTAAATTGATGGCGCTATATAAGTACCTGAAATAATAATAATAATAAAAGGAAAACCAATTTTGAAGTACTTTTGAACGACATTCAACCAATCATCAAATGTACAAAGAATTTTCATATGATGCTTATCCAAATGTTTGTTGAAAATCTACTGGTGTATCGCCAGCTTCAGGAGGTGTTTCAGCAGCTTTCACTCTTTGGATAAAGGCCTACAGATATGGTTATAGCATTAATGTGGTTATAAACCTCAGACATGAAATATGAACAAAGCATGTCCCTCTATAGCGTGTGCTTGTCTCAATCCAGAGCACTAAGTGTCATTTCTTTCCTCATTCCTCTGCTATCAGCATGAGTCACTTCTGATGAGTTTTCCTGACACCAGGAGAAAAAAAGTGACAGGGGAGGGTACAGTCTGTGATTGACAGTCTCAGGTCTATTCCTGTGTGCTGTGTGGAAGCGGGTGTGTCCCTTCTCTCCAATCAGCTCTCAGAGCTCTCCTCACTGAGTGTAATTTCTGCTGTCTGCCTCTTTCTTTTCAAAGCTGAGAGATCCTGTATAAATTCTGCATTTTCAAGGGATGTAGAGAAGAGAGGGCTACAGATAAACAGGTACAAATTATGTAGGAGGATTTGTTTCATCTCTGTGTATCACCTGAGGCCAGTTACTTCACTGAGTATATGTAAGAGTTTACAACCACTTTAAAGCACCTGTTTTTAATGGTGTTTAGGGACTGCATAGAATATTTTTTAATAAAGATGAACTAACCCTTTAAATCAGAATTGGCACTGGAAAAGTGTTATTTGTTTTTCAAGTGCAGGAGTCTATATGCTTTTGCAACAAAAAATGAAAATAAAAATATATTGCAAACCTTTTTTGCTTATTCATTATATACATTTACAAAATTATTTTTAAAACCTAAATTCATGTTTTCTTTTTTTTCCCCTTTTTTGAATTTATTTATTTTAAGAAAGCTATAGAGAAGGGGTCTCCAAACTGCAGCCCGTGGGCCGAATGTGGCCCTTTGCTTACCTTTTACTGGCCCTTGGGGCACTAGTCCTCCCATTAACACCAACAAGGAGGCACCATTCCTTCCAATGACATCAATAATGGGGAACCATTTCTCTCACTGACACCAACAATGGGGAATTTTTCCTTCCGATGACACCAGTGATTGGTTCCATTCATCCCACAACACCAGCAATGGGACATAATTCCTCCCACTGATATAAACAATTAGGCCCTATTCCTCCCAGTGATACCAATGATGGGGCACTACTCCTCCCAGTGATACCAATGATGGGGCACTATTCCTCCCAGTGATACCAATGATGAGGCACTATTCCTCCCACTGACACCAATGATGGGCCACTATTCCTCCCACTGACTCCAATAATGGGGCACTATTCCTCCCACTGACACCAATGATGGGGCACTATTCCTCCCACTGATACCAATGATGGGGCACTATTCCTCCCACTGATACCAATGATGGGGCACTATTCCTCCCACTGATACCAATGATGGGGCACTATTCCTCCCACTGACACCAATGATGGGACACTATTCCTCCCACTGATACCAATGATGGGGCACTATTCCTCCCACTGACACCAATGATGGGGCACTATTCCTCCCACTGATACCAATGATGGGGCACTATTCCTCCCACTGATACCAATGATGGGGCACTATTCCTCCCACTGATACCAATGATGGGGCACTATTCCTCCCACTGACACCAATGATGGGGCACTACTCCTCCCATTGATATCAATGATGGGGCACTATTCCTCCCACTGATACCAATGATGGGACACTATTCCTCCCACTGATACCAATGATGGGGCACTATTCCTCCCACTGATACCAATGATGGGGCACTACTCCTCCCAGTGATACCAATGATGGGGCACTATTCCTCCCACTGATACCAATGATGGGGCACTATTCCCCCCACTGATACCAATGATGGGGCACTATTCCTCCCACTGATACCAATGATGGGGCACTATTCCCCCCACTGATACCAATGATGAGACACTGTTCCTCCCAGTGATACCAATGATGGGGCACTACTCCTCCCACTAATACAAATTATGGGACACTATTCCTCCCATTAATATCAATCATGGGGCACTATTCCTTCTCCAAGTCCGAGACATTGTTTACTCCCATTGACACTGGGGCATTTTTGTATTCCCACTGGCCACTCTGGCCCCCCTAAAGTCTGAAGAACAATAATCTGGCCCTTTGTTCAGAAAGTTTGGAGACCCCTGCTATAGAGTTTTCTCTGTCTATCTGATGTGTACAAATTGTTGTGCAAATTGAATTGTAGAGGGGTTACTAAAGGCACCAACATCCCTGTAACATAACTATTCATATGGAAAGTAACAGATGGACATTTATGGTGCCAGAACAGAAACAGTATGGGTAACATTGATTACTTTTATTGGAATTTACAACACAAACCTTTTTTAAAAACACATGATTAAAAGTGTACACATCATAAGAGGTGTACTTAGGGCCGGGACGAGGGGGTGGGCAGGAGGGGTAGCTGCCCTTGATGCAATGGTTTACTGTAGGGATGGGGGTACCTGCCTTCTGTTACAAGGCTGACAGTGGCAGTGATTTTGACAAGCGAGTGACTGCTGGGTGTAGGATCCCCTAAGCTTACACTTCATGAATGGGAAGGGGGGGCAATTTGGCATCTTGACCATGGGCACTGGATGACTTTGTCCCAGCACCGGGCTTACTAATACAAGATGCCTCGATTTAACTAGTACCCACAAACATATGGACCCCACTGGTAGATCAATACAGGTGTTCAATCCAATGACCCCCACCCATTCCTCCTCCTAGTACATATGCCCCCTCCATTCCTCCTCCTAGTACATATGCC